GGGCTGCAGGTTGAACATTTTTCGAGCGATATTCTCATCCATCAATCAACATATACAGAAAAGATTCTGAAGCGTTTTCATATGGATAAAGCCTATCCATTAAGCTTTCCCATGATTGTCCGATCACTTGACATCAAGAAAGATCCTTTTCGTCCCCGAGAAGATGATGAAGAACTCCTTGGTCTTGAAGTGCCCTATCTCAGTGCGATTGGTGCTCTTTTGTATCTTACAAATTGCACAAGACCTGATATAATTTTTCCAGTTAATTTATTAGCACGGTACAATTCTGCACCAACTCGCAAACATTGGAATGGAATCAAACACATATTGCGATATCTTCGTGGCACAATTGATATGTAATTGTTTTATTCAAAAGCATCAAATTCTTAATTAGTTGGATATGCAGATGCCGGCTATCTCTCTGACCCACATAAAGCCTATTAACAAATAAGGTATGTGTTTACCTGTGGCGGTACAACTATATCATAGCGATCTATGAAACAGACAATGATTGCCACTTCTTCAAATCATTCTGAGATACTCGCAATTCATGAGACAAGCAGGGAATGTTTTTGGTTGAGATCAATGATCCAACATATTCGAACAACATGTGGTCTCTTATCAATAAAAGATAGCTCAACAGTATTATATGAAGATAATACGGAATGCAGTGCACAAATGAAAAAAGGATATATTAAAAGTGACAGGACTAAGCACATCTTACCAAAATTCTTTTATGCACATGAACTCCAGAAAAAGGGTGACATTGATATTCAGAAGATACGTTCATGTGAAAATCTAGCAGATCTATTCACTAAAACGCTTCCAACTACAACATTCAAGAAGCTGGTGCACAACATTGGAATGCGTCAACTAAAGGATCTTCAGGGTTGATCTAATGAGGGGGAGCAATTAATTGAAGAGGTATTGGCATACTGTACTCTTTTTCTTTCGTCCAGGTTTTATCCCACTGGGTTTTCCTGGCAAGGTTTTAATGAGGCAGTTTTAATCTATGCAATACCATTTTCAGATACATAAGAATACTGTACTATTTTTCCTTCGCTAGGGTTTTGTCCCACTGGGTTTTCCTTAGCAAGATTTTAACGAGACATATTCTTAGTATAATATTGTGGACTCCAAAGGGGAGTGTTATATATATATCTATGTGGTGTCCACAATAAATGAAGTCAATAATGACACAAAATTGGCGTGAGAAGGAAGATTAGCTTACTGTGAAAGCCATGATATCATGGCTTGTTTAGGAAGCCTCAGTGTCTGCCTATAAATAGTCTTCTTGTATACAATCGATGGTGTAAGGAAAAACAGTTTTCTCTCTCTTTTTATTCCATCTCTTCGTTCTCTCTCTCTATCTCTCTAAAGCTCTATTTTTATTTCTTTTATAATATTACTCTCTCTCTCTCTCTCTCTCTCTATATATATATATATATATATATACCCACACACATATTTTATTACAATGTTTATCATTTTATATACTACGTATCTAAGTGGTTGAGAATTATGAGAAAGGCCACATGGGATGGGCCAGAGATAGTTCTTAGCCCAGAAGCATGGACCTAACTTTTCTAAAAAGAAAAAGAGAAGGAAGAAAACATAAAACAAAACACTTCCAGCCCAATGCTTTAGCAAGTCCAAGCATGAAAGGCCCACTATAAAGCCCATATAATCAACAAAACCAGATAAGCCATGGATGGGAGCTGCGTGGTGAAAAACGGATTGGTGTAGTGTAGGGCGCCGAATTGATCAACACATTTAAAGGTGACGCATTTGCATTAGAAATTTGCTTGTCCAACCGAATTGATCACCAAATTTGCATTTAGGATAGACGAATTATGAAAAGAATCGTGCTCGAGTTGAAAAAAAATAGGATAATTGTTAAGAAAATAATTGTGTTTGAGTTCACATTAAATTTTTATGTGAGTCGATTTTCGTGGGACATTATAATCGTGAATTTTATCATTTTCTTAATCTCTCCCATGTTTCAAATGTGAAAATTCACGGTATCAAAACGAATCCTTCTCAACATCATACATTTATTGTGAAGTGGCACCTTTGATTTTTATGCTTAATTATAAGCCTATTTGGCAATTCGCGTTAATTATTCGTTTCGAAAAATATTCTTGTTTGCTGTTCAAGATTGGTCGTTGAGCGTTGAATACGCATTTTTTTTGTTTCATCGCGCATATATATTTTTTAATACGTTTTGGTCACTATTTAATTTGTGGTTATACTTTAGGTAACCTGATTTTTTTATTTTTTTATTTTTTTTATTTTTATTTTTTTTAAGTTTGTGCATTTTTCTTAGACATACAAACACACTTTTTTAACGCAAATTACTGTCATTTGTTTAGTATAGTCATTCTCTTTCACAATAGTTGTGCCATCAAAATAATACCATTGTACGAAGACCACAACTTTATTCACAAATTCAGACAATGCATGCTAAAAACATCTCATTCTCGTTAGTTTTTATTTTTATTTTTGTAAGTATCTTTAAAATTATGATAAGCTTTATACATTTAATTTAATTTAATTTTTTTTATATTTTAATGTACAGGAGTTTGGTGGAATTATTGTGGTGATTGTCTTTTGGTGCTACAAAGGCGTATTGAGTCAGCCTTGCAGTTCTTCTCCATGTGAGCGAAATTGGAGAGCTTGGGAAGCTACGATGTTGGGGAACCTACAATATTGGACAATCTAGCTTGTATACGTAAAGATGAATACAATGATGATAGAAAAATTCAAGACACTAAAAACGCAAGATTTTGAGCCAATTAATCTTAACAATCTTAGTAACATTCCTGAATATGTTGATCATAAAGAATGGAAAGATTATATTTATTTTATTATTTGTTACATATTTTTTATTGTCCTTACAAATATATATAAGAAAATAATACGATTTGTATAACATAATTTTTTGTCCAAAATTTTTAGCACATACAATGTATTATAAATGTACATATAATTTTTATTTCTTTTGCCGAATTTTTAAAACGTATTTAAAAAAATTAATTAATTATACTCATATATTTTCGTATTTGTACTTGTTTTATATCATATTTTAGTAACTATAATAAGTTGGTTAGATAATGTTTTGCACACTGAAAATGTTAAGCCATCTGAGAAGTTTTTATGAATTTTTGGATAATGCTTAGTTACTCATCGGTGAGTAGCTTCACCCTACTTACTCCTTGTGTGTTCTAATAACAAAATACTACATCAACTTTAATAAAAAAAGTCATGTACGTTTATTCGATAGTTGATCCGAATGTGGGTTATTTGGTTATTAAAACCGATGTGGTATTTTACTATTAAAACACACAAGGAGTGAGTTGGATGAAGCTATTCACTAGTAAGTAATTAAACATTATCCTTATTTTTTATATAATAACACTTAGAAATCAAATAAAGCATAAAATATGTTAAATATTGACATAGTGCTAACAGAAACTTAAAAGAGCATGTAGGTTTATTCAATGATCCATTATATTTATATAAAAAGCTTGTACTAAAAAAACATATATCAACCTTAAATCAGAGTAATAGTGGTCAAATATTAAAATTAATAGTTGATTTTCTGATGATGTCGCGAAAAAGAAGAAATCCCAGTTGCACCTTTTTAATTTACCAATTGGGTCCTACTTGTTATGACTTATGTCACCTAACGGTTTATTTGGCTTTACAAATTGGATATATATTCGTAGCACCTCTCTTTTTACAGTCGAGAAGTGAGTGGACAGGTTTGCCATAATGAGTAGGTTGTTGACATCAAACTGGTCCCAGCGCCTCTGAGGTGATTGTCAATGCTTGCTAGCTTATCCATAACTTTGGTTTCCAGAAAAATGTGTGTGAGCCTGAGGCCGAAAGAATCAAAGTGGTTTTCCTTCATACAGAAAACATCTCACCACTTTACGTTGCTTTTTAAGCTTCATACTCGATCGATGTGTCTCCTCCATTTGGCTTTATGACTCATCATGCAGTGCAACCAGACTCTAGACGTTTCTTTTCGCATTGAAATTTTGGCTATACGGACCAATTGCATGGTCTCGATTTGACAAATTGAGTAGTGCGGTTAAGTTTTTGTCGGGGTCTTACTAAATCATGATTAATCAATGTTTACACAGAAAATAACTAATCAACTTTACGGGACGAGTCGATCTATATACTATATATATAACATTGTATACGGCGGTAATGAGAAAATAGGCCGATAATTTGTCAGTTAAGAAGCAGCTGCCAGCTGTTTCACTAATTACTCCTTATACTACTTCTAGTAAAATATCTACAGTTCAGTTCATCATTTCGCAAAGAGGTAATTGTATTGCATGCGCATGTTGGGGCACGTTCAAACAAGGTGTAACTAGGTGGGCCACTAGAAAAAGATTTGCGGAAGATTTGGACCTACGCAAAACACTTATATTTATGAGCAGTGGCAATACGTGATTGGACAGTTCCAAACAAATTGTCAAAATACCAACGTTAGAAAGTCATCATCATACTCCAGTATATATGTATTGTGGATAACACACCCCCTCCAAATCCCTTTCTTGGTGCATGCATATAGATAACGCATGTCAATATTATTCACTTATTATGTATATTGTTGAATGTTGGAATCGTTATAATGCATTATGTGAATATTGATCTGCATGATCAGCTGTTGGCCAATATTATATGCACTAATTATTGCTGTATTATCATTAAGAGCAATGCTATAATTGATCACGTTGCAATAAGGACTCATAGAGATAAGAGTGTGTGGTTCGTCATTCTACACTCTTCTATTTTTTAGTCGGTGATGTAATTAATGTCGTTAATTATAAGCTTTTCTGCTGTTAAACATTTGAATATATTAATTGAACTGAAATTTTTACTACGAAGACTTGATATGAGAACAAGTACCAATAACCATTAACATTGGATGTCAAACAGAGAATGATAGACACATATTTGGGAACATGCAGCTTATTCTACACCAAACTAAAAGTTTTTAAAAACTTAGAACTAACAAAAATGAAAAGCTCAATACAAAAACTAGCATCTTAATTGATTAAGACCCTCATAAAAATCACCCCACAAACCCAAGTTAGGTAATGGGTTAATCTTCTTATTCTAGCTAGTACTATTCTATATATATTTGATTACCACATGATCAGTCAAGGGTTCCACGTAGGATCCCTAGGACTAAAGAAAGAGGCCTTCACATTAGAGTTGAGCAGTTTCAGAGCAGCATTAGACTTGATGCACCTTGGGGTTTTATACTGATTGATTGATCCCCCTTGTTTGATGAACATGTCCATCAATGCTTCAAATGTGCCTGGCTTCACAACTCGTATCTCAAGCGGTCCTATACACTTGTCGTGAGCACGACATCGCCTGTAAATGTAATCAAGTTCTTCTTCCACAGCAATGCAACACTCTTGAAGCACCTTTGCATCAAGTGGCCGGGTGACTGGTGAATCTACCACTGCTGATGGTGTGCAATGTATGATCTCCCAAAACATAACGTAGTGTCCCGGTAGAGATGATGTTTCGGCATAGCTAGTGTATTCCACAAGTAGAGCATTGCAGGGTTGTAGCAGTTCCTTTGCCTTGGTGATGCCCTTGTGCAGGTCTTCTTCATTGGTTTTATCAGTGTCGATGCTTAGCACCACATTTCTTCTACAGATGAATCGGAATTGTGGGGCTCGATTATGGAATCCAGTCACTTGTAGCACATCTCCTATACGATATCGATATAGCCCTAATCATCCATGAAAATCCATGCATTAGCTAACCAAATACACAAATTGAGGAATTTAAGACAACTATAGTAACTAGCATTTTTTGTGGTCTAGAATAACTTTTTTTTTTTTGGGTACTTACCAGCAAATGTAGTGACCACCAGTTCATAATAGCACCCAAGTCTAACTTGCACTAGGTCTACAAGCTTATCCTGGGGCACCTCATCCTCTTCATGTAGATCAATGAAAAGTGTTCCATTGTCTCCCAAAGGTATGAATTCGAAGTAACCCATATTAGGCAAGAGGGTGAATGCCACGTCAGCAGGGTTACACAAGGGTTTCAAATTCACACCAAAGTAACACTCTGATGAAGCATACATAGTACAAACCAGTGGTAACTTTCCTTCACTATAGTACTCTAGGGTTGGTATATATTGTGACATGGACCCCGTGACCACAGCCTCTATGTACTTGGCCTTAGGCCAAAGCTGACAAACTATTCCCTTCCATGATGGACGGCTACAGATGGCCTCAATCTCATCGGCCAGACGTGGGTCCGGAGAGGAAAGTACGATTGACATGGCTGACCTGCATCCGAGATCGGTGATCATGGGGTCCAATCGGCCAGAACGGATATCGTTGCACATTTTGACCCAGTTACGTTCAAGGAAGGAGATGGCTAGAAGTAAAGCTGAGGCGAATATGGCTCCAAGACGAAGGACTTGTCGTCGATGGACTAGGCCGGCTAGTAACTGACAGTACATGCTTTGATTGTTGTCATTGCACAAAATGGCTTGGTCTGGACTCGTGAAATCGTTATAAGGGTCGCGAGATCGGCACTTGAAGTGCTTGCTCCTGTAGTAGCTGGTCAGCACAGTCCGAGCTGGTAAACCACAAGGAGTCGACATCTCTGACTTCACAAAGTAAAGGTACATGGCCTTGCCCTCGTCCAGACCAGGGACGTACCTGGAATCACAATATGCTGGTTAAGTATATATATATATATATATATATATATATATGTATATTTTCATGTCCAAATTAGCAGTTTTGAATAATTCACTTATTTGAAAATTCAAGACTTCTACTTTAGGTTACCGTAAAATAGGGTCTAAGTTCATGTTTCTGTAATTTTTCCTTGAAAGAAAAGATTTATATAAAATAAAAATAAAAAAATTAATAATGAAACCAAACTGATCGATGACTGTTGTTATGAACTTTCTATCCTCTTTTGTTATCATCAGACACAATAGTACGTATTAAATCTAGTATGTAACTTTATAAAATAGGATTGATAATTATATAGTCAAAATTTAGTAACATAAAAATTAAAGAATTTAAATGAAGAATTGTGTAACTGGTTCATGATTGGCATGATGAGATTATATAGAAAGGTTCGACGGTCAAGATCTTCTGCAATTGACGGCATCATCTTGGGTTCTCCAGCCGAAGTGCCCGAACTGCAAGAGCAAAAAAAAAAAAAAAAAAAAAAAAAAAAACATCAAATTTAGAAACGGATAAGAATGAATGCAATTAACAAATGAAGAAAGAAAGAGAGAAAGAGACCTGCATAACATCTCTGTTATGGGGTGACCAGTGATTAGAGAAGAGTGTTCTCCATTAGCAATTCTTTTGATATATGGGTCAATACCCTTATATGTGATAACTGGCACACACTGCTTAAATTTTGATACATCTTTTGAATATCCCTCCGGCATGTACTTACTTAAGTACTCAGTCTTTTCATTTCGCCTTAAAATCTCTTTCAAAATGTTGTCTTGAACTTCATCCGCCTTTGCCGTCAGCTTCTCCAGCTCCTTTAATGCCTCCTCACCTTTGTACTCCAATTTCTTGCCGTCCATATATTAAAATTTGTAAAATAAGCAAGAAAAGATTGAAGTAACAGAATTAGACAATATGTATATATTTCTAGACTTGCAACTCAAAACACTTCTTGTTGATGAGTATGTTTAGAACCCTACTGGTGTATTTATATGCACACATATATCAACTTTGGCTATGTTAAATATGGTAAATGTTTTTTATTTTTTTTAGTTTTTCTTTTACACATGATATGATATCTTGGTACCCAATACCCATCTAAAGACAATATATCCGTGGTTGATTCCATCCGTAGTGTGGCACCGGCCCACAAACTTTTATTTGATTTTAAATTATTGTCGGTCTTTGCCTACTTAACAAGTTAATTTATAAGTGAACATGAGTTTAATTTTACATACACATATATGTTTGTGTTTATGTGTGATGCTAATTAATTTTCAGTTATATCAAAACAGAATGCAACTCTGGAAACTCCTACTATATATATATATATATAGATGTACATATTTTAGAAAGAAATTGTGATGGGTGCCTCATTAATACACTCACTCTTCCGATCACAGCTACCTTAAAGGCAGTAGTACATCAAATATATCAAAGGTCATTGGGAAGGAATCAAAACTAGCCAACAGGCTTCATTATTCGTAAAAGCAGTACATTATTCGTAAGTACCTTGTTAAAACTAGATTTGATTATTGAAAAAGATTTGCAAACACTTTCTGGGTGAGGTGATTCGAACAAAGGATTGTAGTGACAAAAAAGAAACGATCTCAACCATACAATACTGAATTCGAGATGCCAGAGGGAATGTAAGCAAATTAACATCCTTATCCAAAATGGTGCATAAATATATTAATGTCCTTGTACACGCCTTTAAAGAATGCATGATGCACCATTAGGTGATCAGGTTGGTGCTCGATCGCCGCATCCCACTGATTTTATCCTTTTTTATTAACATTAGTGACCGACATACATATATGTATATATATACATGCCAATTGAGGAGTAGTGTTTCCTTAATTTTCTAGCTCTCATTACAGTTCTAGCAATCCAATAAATAATGCCAATGCACTAAATAAATGGAGAAACAGCTTTTCAATGGGAAGCTACTGATAGTGCAGAAGAAAGCAAACTTTAACAAGTACAAGTCTTTGTTTTCCATGATCAAGGACGGACTAGGAGTAGCTAGCTAGCTAGCTAGGTCTCTCTTTAGCACATGCATCGCGTGCCCCTCACCAAAATCATACTGTCCTCCATTATCTCCCTCCCTCCCTTTTGAAGTATTCTCAGTACGTACGGTATTCTATTTCGCCACTCATCTAGCTACCACCAAATCACTCCGACTGCTATCTACTACAATATTCACTACTCATCATTGATGACCTCATATGTATGCAACATCCATATATTCTCATGTCAATTACTTAACTATTTTATCCACTATATGTAGTGTTTATAGAAAAGCTTTTTCAAAATAGTAAATAATAAATCCACCAAGCAAAACAAGAATAATAGACCGAACACCGTGTAAAACACTCCCTCAAAAATCAGACTTTTGCGTGCGTGTGACCCCAAGAAATTATTTGTCCTCATGGACATCAAACCTTAGACCTTACCTACAATCATAAAACCCGCTTGCTAATTTTATCGATGTAGTGCAAAAAGATCCGTGTGTAATTTAAAACCCCTTATACTATTGATTTGATGCAAATAATTCCCTAGAGACATATATGTTGGGAAGCCTAATATTGCATACTATTTTCCTTTACTTAAATTGATTGACCCACAACATTTTCGTCGACAACGTTTTCCTCTACTTATATTGAAAAGTTACTAGAGATATTTGAATGAATTATCAACCAAATATTACAATCAAGAAGTTCCTTAGTGTTGGGCAATGATGTATTAGAGACCCTACTAAATCTCACCAAAGATAACAATATTGGGACATAAAACATTTGATTACCAGTGCATGCAAACTATATCTGTAGAGAGAGAAACCCAATTTTGATCATTTAGAGAGAGAGAGGATTGTATGTACAGTGTAAAGTTTGCAAGTTAATATGATGCTTCTCTTTTCTACAATTATACTTGCCGACTCCTTCAGTATGACCTCAAATTGAAGTTCGAAATTTGACAAACAAGGTGAAATCAAATTTGAGTAATAAACAGAGTTTGAATTTGATTTTCGAGTTTGAACAGCCAAAAGCTCAATTCGATGCGAGCCGAAACAAATTTGAGTCAACTCAACAAATTTGAGTTTGTGACGTGACTTTGATGACACTCAACTCAATAAAAGGATAGAATAAGAAGATAAAAAGACAAATTAAAGTTTTTAAATTTACTTTATGTTAATTTTGATTAAAAAGTGATTAAATGAATTTATTTGTAAAAATAAAAACTATTTCTACACAAACCATATATATGAGAAATTTATTTTTGCGCTTGACTTTTTTCTTTACCCTCCCCGTTAAATCTCAATCATATATATATATCCACAAACTGATATCAAACGAATTGAAATATTGCTGTTATGATTTGAAAGTAACAAAAAGATATATGCTTTAAGTACTAGAGCTTGACACACCTAGCTAGCTAGTCTTCTTCTCGAAGACCCTTCCCTGTTGCTGCTGCTGGAAGCCACACAATCAGAAAAAAGAAATAAACCCACATGAGAAACAAGGAGACAAGAAGATAGAGAGAGAGAGAGACAGACATAGAGAGAGACAGAGTACTTTTCAGAAAGAATATTGTACATTAATGGAGTGCATATTTTATTGTTGTTTTGTTTTTTTCTTTTTATTACTGTATTTTTTGAAAGGTGAAGTGGATATATTGTTGTTTCAAAAAGGATAAGGAATGCAGCAGCTTTTTAGATACAGTTAAATATAAAATAGTGACAAATGAGCCGTACGTATGTATGTGTCTGTGTGTGTGTGTGTGTATATATAGCTTTAAGTCGAGGAAGTGGGCTTGCTTTTGTTTTGGTTAATAGTGGGAAGTACCGACGTGTACTAGTCCATAACAAGTAAAAAGATAACTGCCATATGGTTAATTGAGGGTTGTGACTCACACACACACACCACATATTCTTTCCTAGCTCTCTCGTAATGGAGCAGTGATATAATGAGAGCTTCAGATATTTATATACATTCATGCAATGTACCTTCCCCACTTTCACACCGGCCATCATGGGATCTCTTCCTGGCAATAAAGATTCACCATTTGTATTTACCTTCGATCTGTCAACATCATCATCATTTTTTTCTTTCTTTTTGGACTAGAGACTTTGAATTTTAATTTGGATGCAAAACAGAGAGTACGCATTAAAAATTAGGGTAAAAATACAATCAAAACATTTGTTAGATATGGGCCTTTTATTTTTTGCTTTTGGTTTTAATGATGAGTATTTTGAGTATTACTTTAACTAAAATTTGATAATGTTCATTTGTTGTAAGATTCTTTAAAGTAAAAATATGAAAATATTTTAGGTAAAAAAATATTTTAAATTTAAAAAATATAATAATTAATTTAAAAATATTATTTAAGAGCTTTTTTTTTTATATATATATAAATTATTGCTCATTTAACCAACCGTCCAAATGCAATTTTTTCTATAATTCATTATTACTGTGCCTGTACCTGACAAAACAAAAACACTAAATATAAAACACATGTCAAACAGCATATTTCTCGCTACTTTGTTTGCTAACTCGTGGTAGAAGGTGACGAAGACAATAAGCAATAAAATGTCATGTACAATATATTAGTGTAAAATAAGCCCTATCCATTTTTCTGGATAGGTTGAATTATTGAAAGAAAATCGTAAAGGAATAACACAAGAAGTGAGACCAAAGAGACAATCCGACTTATCACTCAATGGATACGAGTAGGTGCATATCTTGACATCACCATAGCCCACTTAGTTCTTTGGCTCCATGCTAGTGGACGGAAAAAAGAAAAAGAATGATGAAACAATTACAAATATATGGAGTTTTGGAGGATAATTTTTAAATTTATGGAGTTGAAGTCTATGTCTTTCTAAATCACGTATGTTTTCGAAATTAAAATGTGAACATATAAAAATACTATTCATTTGATCAAATCACTACTACTTTTGTGCATAAAAGAAAAAAATAATTCCAAGCCCTTTTTGACTAGAAAGATGAGGCACGATATTGATAGAATATCGTGGCCTGTCCAAGTAAAATTTCGGTCTGAAAAAGTATCTAAAAATATAAAATTTAGATATTTGTACCACTGGGCTACCACCACAATTCAACCCAAGCGAATATGACTGGTACGCGAAACTTTGGAGAGTGTTGTGAATGCGAACCACTACTCTCGCACTCTCCAAAACGAGATATTCTAAGTCCATATGATGGAACTAAAACAATCTTGTAAAGATCTTTGATTCTCAACGCTAATGCTGGAACCCCAAATCGGGGAAATTCTGAATGTTGCGCTTTACGGTGATAGTCGAAGTAAGAAACCATGGCATATATGTTTGGAATAAATTCCATTTTGAGAGAGTTGAAAAGGCATTATCTCATTGAAAGATTCTATACATCTGTCCTTTCTCAACGCATTTCTTTAACCAAAGATTCTATTTTTTCCTCTTTTCGGATGGTAAATATTTCTCAGAACATAGAGTGTGAATCAAACCCATATTTGAATTGAAATTGAGATACTGATGCAAGTCCTCTTATTCATTATTGAGCTTCGAAAATGTGAAGATTGTCATTCAACCTGATACTTCAAAAAGGAAGCTCAATTAATTTTGGCGTAGGTTGAACTAGAGTTGTTCAAGCTTGATACTTATACTAGCCCGAACAAATTGGGGTAGCATTCATAGTCTAACAAATTTACTATGTACACAATTTTTTTTTTTTTTTTTTCAATACAATCTAATCTCATATATATATATATACACCCTTGGGCATTTTCAGAAGAGTAAAAGGGCAAAACGGATATTACAGCATTAATTTATGTACATTTATGATTGAGGGGTATTTTTTGCACAATGTGAAAAGATTAAGTGTATTTTTTGCACACTTTTTTAAATATGGAATAAAAATGTTACACAGAGTATACTTTAAGAATGTTTTATGCACTTCTCCAAGAGAGAGAGTTCTATTAAAGTATAAAATTTGAGAGAGAGAAAGAGAGAGAGAGTGCTCTATTCAAGTATAAAATTTGAATCCACTCCGGTGCACAGGATGGCCATTTCACAAGAAATTAACTTCACATGGGGTGTGAATAT